TGATAGACAGCTACCCTGAACCTGTGCCTCCATGGTCAGCTGAGAGTCCAGTATTACTCCTAGCCTTCACACCTGGTCCTTCAGGGGCAGAGTTACCCTGTTCAGGACCAAGAAGTCCCGCCACACCCGCCCACACCCTGCCCCCCCCCCAGAAACAGTTCTTTTTTTCCGGGATTCAACCTCAGTCCGGAATGAATCAAGAGCAGCTGGGTGTTTCTTCTCCTCCCTATTCCTGCTGAGGGATTGTTTCTGCATTACAGCTCAGGATTGGCGGGGTGGGGAATGAATGGTGCGCTCTTCAAAGTATAACTACAGATAAGTATTATATGTGTAACCCATGTGCCAAAACCATGCAGGCACACTTCAATTGCAAAAGTTCCCCGATCAATAGCACAAAAGCAGATTGTGTTGCATGTTCACTGGCCCTCTTCTTTACAGACAGTCTAGGAAGGCTAGATTGGCTGAGGCTTCCTCAGAGTTGTACACATAGGGAAATAAAGGTGTGTGTGAAAATGTGTGTGTACACATTTTTTTTAAGAAAAAAAGTAACTGATTTCAGATTCTTGTTCCTACCTGCAAATGCTAATTGTTTAGAAGGAGGAAGTGTGTCACATTAGGAGCTGCCCTCACTGTAAAGGTAAAGGTAAAGGGACCCCTGACCATTAGGTCCAGTCGTGACCGACTCTGGGGTTGCGGCGCTCATCTTGCTTTATTGGCCAAGGGAGCCGGCGTACAGCTTCCGGGTCATGTGGCCAGCGCGACTAAGCCGCTTCTGGCAAATCAAAGCAGCGCATGGAAACGCCGTTTACCTTCCCACTGGAGCGGTACCTATCTACTTGCACTTTGGTGTGCTTTCGAACTGCTAGGTGGGCAGGAGCAGGGACCGAGCAACGGGATTCGAACCGCCAACCTTCTGATCGGCAAGTCCTAGGCTTTGTGGTTTAACCCAGAGCGCCACCTGCGTCCCGCCCTCACTGTAGCAACCAAAAATAATTTTTAAAAAGTCATAGCACCACCTGCCTTGGGATTGCCCCACAACACAGAATACTTTAGTTATAGCACCCTCAGAAATGCTCCATAGGAAATAATCTGGCCTTCCTAGGACCCTTCTGACTCTGCCTATGAAAATAAGCCATGATGCAAGACATTGCTCACCCACTGCTAGGACTATCAAATAGCAGAGAACAGCTGGGCATGTCGTGCCTTGCTCAGCATTGGCCTCATGGCTGTGCATTATTCAAAAGAGAAAAATACTCCATCTAAGGGGCTAAAGCTCCTGGGCTGGCAATTTAGGTTTGCCTGACTTACCTATTAGTAAGTCCCGCAGAACTTACTTCTGGCTAAACATATATAGGATTGCAGTGTAGATCACTCAGCTCTTGACTCTGAAATTTGATTCTTAATAAAATAAAATCTCCCCCACTTTGACAAGGGTTTAAGTGAAGTCAGGTGATTGGCAGCTGGGCTGCCCCACTCAACTGATGCACAATCCTACTTTCTACAAGGTTCAATCCTACTTTCTACAAGGTTTGGTAGTACCAGTTAGTTTCCCTTCCAAAACATCCAAACCAAACAGAACTGAACTGCTTGTGAATCAGCTGGTGTGCTTGGGGGAGGTCCAGTCCTGCTGTCTGCAGCTACATCTCTACCTGCTGTACACCTGATGTCAGGTGTGGGCTGGTGGGCATTGTTTAGGAGAAATGGCCTTGCAAATAGGGAGACTTGGTAGGCCTCCACACCGTTTTTAAAGGCTTGGGGTGGCAACTGTGTAAAGCAAGGGTGGCAGGTCAGGGGCTAGCAATGAGCCTCCCAAGCTGCAAATACTTAAAAGGTGAAGGAGCTACTGCCACTGCTGTATAAAAGTTCGTGCACAAAATAAGGGGAAAAGGTGAATAAATCAACACTAGAATTGAGGGCTGTGTATACCAGTAAACCAAACATTGAAAAACACAAGAAAGGCTGCTGTGAATTGCATGTAACCGTAACAGTTCAAAATCGACTATTTTCTCATCTATAAGACGCCCCATGTATAAGACCTCCCCTATTTTTGTGGCAACAACCAATCACCAGTCCACGCTTAACACTATCCGTGTACAAGACGCCCCCTAATTTTTGACTATTTTTTAGGGGGAAAACCTAGTCTTATACACAGAAAAATACGGTAAACAACAGTATCATTTCTGAAATCTAGCATCAATGATCAACAGTGCATGTACAGAGATCACTCCGATGACAATTTAACTGATATAACTCATTGACTGGATTCGGACATAACACTAAACTATGGTCTAGTGTTACATGGGTGAACCTTGGGTTCCTTCTCATTTTCTCCGTCTCTGGCACAGTGATTAAAATATCAGGTTTTACTTCCATTTTTGAGTAACTGAGAGTTATCTCTTGTTTAGAGAAACAAGTCAAATTCATAAACCACTGTTTTTTGGGGGGTGGATTGTTCCACTAAATCAGAGGTCAGCAAACCTTTTCAGCAGGGGGCCGGTTCACCGTCCCTCAGACCTTCGGGGGGGCGGACTATTTTTTGAAAATAATAATAATAATAATAATAATAATATATATATATATATATATATATATATATATATATATATATATATATATATATGCTTTCATAGATTTTCACGGGTACAGGAATGCAGGTTTTGGTGTTCTCGGGTGTCTTCCCGTGTAAAAGTTGGGGTGTCTAGGCGACGTTTCGACGAGGTCTCACTCGTCATCTTCAGGCTGGTGCTTTCGGCTTCTTGTTATATGAATGAATGAGAACAAATTCCTATGCCCCACAAATAACCCAGAGATGCATTTTAAATAAAAGCACACATTCTACTCATGTAAAAACACGCTGATTCCTGGACCATCCACGGGCCGAATTTAGAAGGTGGGCAGGATCCGGCCTCCGAGCCGTAGTTTGCCTACCCATGTACTAAACCATAGTTAAGACTAACCACAGTTTGCCTAGATTTGGACACAATGGTAACCACATAGAATTTTTAAAAACTGGAAGTGAAAGCTTCTGGTCACCACCTCACAGCTGCACCACAGGAGGAGGGAAAGGGGAGCATGTGAGCATGACGATCAATCACATAATGCCCAACCATCGTTTAGTGTTATATCTGAACAAAGTGGATTCTAGACTAGATATGACCTAAACCTGATATAAATGTGTATTGTAAAGCATGCATATCATCACATTTTCTTTGGTTTTTATTGTTTTATCGGGGGAACTGCATTAAGTTCATTACGCCCCACCCAAACAGAAGAAGTCAATGCTGTCATCTTGCTGAGTCACTGCTTGGGCTCACTTACTGAGCAGAAATCACCACTGATCCAGAGCCCCTTTGCTGACATCATTTACCCAGTCCAAGGCATTGTATCATTGAGCAGCAAGCTAAATGAGTCAGGCCAGCTGCAATCTACGAGGAGCACCACTCGCAACTTGGAGGTCATCCCAGAAGCAGGGCCATAACATCATTTGGCAGCAAAAGCACACCCCCCCCCAGGAAGACTCTGAAGAAGACTCAGAGATCTAAATTTTCAACAGTAAACTAGACTTTGGGATAGGCTTTTTTGGACATGTGGTTGACCATTGTTCGTGCCTGACAAAGGTAGTTTTGAAAGCTAGTTCTCATATGTGTAGGAATAAACAAACATTTATATATTTAGCAAAATGTATAAAACACACCTCTAAGTGACATCAGCACCAACCTGATGTTAATAAGCAAGGAATTCCCAAGTATAGGTGCCACCACAATAAATGATGCAATTTCTTACAGGTGTGGAACAAGTACCGTACTGGCCTGAATATAAGCCTCACTTTTCCCCCAAATTCTGACCGTGAAAAGTTAAAGTGCAGCTTAAATTCGCAACCTTACAAAAACTGACTTTTATGAGATCACTGCTGAAACAGACATATGGTTAAACAGAATAGGTGTGAGTGCCTGCGGAATTTTAAGGGAGCGGCTTCTATTCAGGTGTAGCTTATATTCGGGCCAATACAGTATTATGTGGCGGCTGTAACAATGCCAGTCCCACAGACTGAAAAAGTCGAGTGGACATAAATGTTGTAAAGCAAGGATCAGGGTCTGTTGCACTTCAGGTGGAGAAGCAGTTAATGGAGCTCTTGGGTTCCCTGAGTTGCAACTTGAGCCGATACAATTTTCAAAAGAAGATAATATTATGATAATATTTCACTACTGGACAGTAAGGACTGACATAACCTGAGACCAGGAAGAAGAGACGTTGGATGAAGATTGGAAGAAAGTTTATAAAGAAAAACTTTTATTTTGGGAATTAGTGTAAAATTAATGAATAGTAGGGAAAATGTTGGAATGAAACTATTTGGCTTTAGTAGAAATGATATAAGGAGTTATGTATAAATAAGTATTAAGTTTTAAGCTTTAAGGTATTTTATGGTAAGATAAGGTTAAATAAATTATGGCAAATTGAATAACAGAATATGGTGAAAGATGGAAAGGATTTGCTGAGTTAATTAATTGGTTAGACTGTTAAGATAAATTACTCAACAAAAATTGAGAAAGACGGAAAGAATTTGCTGAAACAATTAATTAAACTAGAACACAAAAAGGGAGGTGTGAGGAGGTCAATGAAACAAGCAAATGAAAGATATGGAATATGGGATCTGTGTGTGTTTTTTTGTGTTTTTTTGTATTGTTGTATTGGTTTTTATGTACCCTTTTTTCTTTTTTATGTATTGTAGTGTGTGCTTTGTTGAATCTTTTTGTTGTTTTCTCTTTTTTCTTTTATCTGTAATCTTTAAACTTTTAATAAATATTATTTTAAAAAAATAAAATATTAAGGTAATAGTGACCAATGCGGAATTATAACTGGAGCTATGTGTACTCCTTAAAATTCTGCACTAAGGAAATCCAAATTACGCATGAAGAAAAGCTGAAATCTGCAAAAAGGAGAGGGGCGGGGAGGGAAGAGGGGAGAAGGGAAAGGGAAGCAGGTCTGCCAAGAACACTTACTGGCTTGTTTGGCTTTCTCTGCATAGGTGGTGGTCAGGTCCTCATCGACGGGGTGCTCCACAGGCCCTATCATGGGGATGAGGTGCCTCTCTGCTCGAATGTTCTTAGTTGCATGTGGGAGGAGCATAGCTTCTGGCGAAGGCTCTCTGTCTTCAGGTAAGGGTGGCTGCAGTAGCAAAGCTTCACTCTCTGAGAAGGGGGTGTCGGTGCGGCTTTCTGGCCGGCACACTATCTCCCTCTTGGCCACGCCGCTGAGGTTTTCTCCACGTTCGGCAGCTTGCGCTGTTGCCTCGGGGGTGCTGTCGTACCCGCTCAGCTCGGAAAGGGACACTTCGTCCTGCGGCTCGCCCCCTTTATTGTTTGGTCCCCCTGGGGGAGAACGGGGGCTCTTCTTGCGAGCTCTCCGGTGCTTTTCCTGGGCAATGTTGTCAGCGTCGCTGTCGGTCTCGGCATAGTACGCTTCGCTATCTGGGGGTGAGGTTATGTTCTCCAGGGGCTGCTGCCGTCGGGGCTGCTGCTCAGGTTCCAGGGCAGCAGGGGGGACGGCCGGTTCAGGACTGCGCAACTGGGAGGCCCGGCTGAGCGGTGAAGTTGGCGAGGGCACTTGCAGCTGCCTGGGGGAAGGGGAACGAAGGAGCCCCTCAACGGATGGGTTCTCACTAAGCACCCTGTAGGAAAGAAGAAGAAAATAAAATAAGAGATTCTGGGTCAGTTACAGCGGCGTAGCGTGGGTTGTCAGCACCCGGGGCAAGGCAAGTAATTTGCGCCCCCTAACCCGTGGATTTGCGCCCCCTAACCCTACAAATCTATGCCTATGAATGATGGTCCCTCTCTCTCTCTCTCTTTCTCATATTCCAATTGATTCCCATTTCCGCCGATCGATCCCCGAAGCTCTCACCCAGCGAAATTCGTGCGTAATTACGCTTCGCCATCCCTAATCCTGCCGCTTCCACCGGGAAATCATGACGGTGCGTTTCTCCTCTCCAAACTTTCCCCGGCCCTTTGCCAGCCGGCGCAGCCCTTTTGGCTACGAGCTCCCCTCCTTCTCTGCCCGCTTCCGACCCCACCTCCACATCCAGCCTCCCTACCTCCTGAAAAAAGGCGCCGGCGCCGAGCAGGACACCCCCGCGGCCATCGGAGAGAGGCGGGGCCGAGGGAGGCTGGCTGGCCAATGGGCAAGGCGGGGGTAGGTGGCCACGGGGGCGGGCGCTGCCGCAGTCCTCGGGTGGGCAAGGTAGGAGCAGGCGGAGGCTGGCTGGCCGCTCTGACAATAGGGGCGGGCCGAGGGCACGACGGGGCTGGGCCCTCTGGACTCGCGCCCCCCCCAGATGTTGCGCCCGGTGCGGCCAGCACCCCTGGCACCCCCCACGCTACGCCACTGGTCAGTTACACACAAAGCAACAGATGAATATTTGATGCAGTTACGTGGATCCCGTGCAGAATCTCCAATATAGATCTCTTGAGAACCAAAGTCAATTTACGGTTAGGAAATTATGAAAATGTGTCACACAATGGCTAATGAAGATACAGAGAGTGAATCCCCAACCTCCTATATATTGCAGTCAGAAGGCCACTCATACAAATTAAGCAAAAATCGGAAAGGTATCTATTTATGCATCCATTGGTCTCTCATGAAGAAGTTTAACCTCTTAGTATGAAATATGGCTTGTTAGGGAAGCTTTTAATGTTTAATAAACTATTGTATTTTAATATTTCTGTTGGAAGCCGCCCAGAGGGGCTGAGGAAACCCAGCCAGATGGACAGGGTATAAATGAATTATTATTATTATTATTATTATTATTATTATTATTATTATTATTATTATTTAATAGTACTGAGTGAATCTGTTAGTTTCAGTTTCTCTCTGTTTTTCCTTTTTCTAATCTTAAATTCAATTTTCCACATTGGTTTGCAAAAGAATAAAAATACTGTATTTTCCAGTGTATAAGGCACCCCCCCCTATTTTGGGGGACTCAAATTTAAGAAAATGGGGGAGATGGCTCAGGGTTGTTGAGCTTTTTTTTAGGGGGGATTGCCAATAATCGCTCACCCACACACAGCGCGAAATCCACCTTTCATCTGTCCCCTCGCCGGCAGAAGCTGCCAATCGCCTGCCCAATTGCTGCAGCATCAGCCAATCAACACAAGTCCTTGACGCAGAAACCAATATCACGCCAAATAGCCACTGACAGCCGAGGCAGCAAGCAATCAAACGCCCACCCTATGCACTCTCCATGTATAAGATGACCCCCACTTTTTAGCATATTTTTAAAGAAAAAAATCTAGTCTTATACACGGAAAAGTACGGTAAATAAAGTCCGCATAAAAATTCATCACCTGGAACAACACCTAATATACACATGTAAGTAATTTCCCCTAATCTGCACATTTTTGCATGGCATTTTTCAATAATATAACACATTTTTGTATCTTATTTTCACTATATTTCATAAAATTTTGACACTGTTTGATTGTCCAAAAAGGCTCCCCCAAAGCCCTCAAAACAGTATACCAAAAATGTGCATTTATATGCACACATATTAATTTGTCACAGGATTTGGTTCTAGTAAGTTGAGAAGGTGGGGGGGGGAATCTCTCTATCCACTTTCGCTACCCCATTCATAATTTTATACCCCTCTATCATCTCCCCACTTGCTCACTTTCCCCCCAAATGATGTAACCTTTCCTCACAGGGGAGTTGTTCTAACCCCTTGATCATTTTGGTTGCCCTCTTCTGAATCTTTTCCAGCTCTTTTTTTAGGTTAAGCAATTGCAACTGTGCATATTATTTAGAGTGTGGTCTCACCATATCTATTATCCATCATTTGTTAGCTTCAGTTATCAGAAAAGTGAGGTATAAATGTATTTGTTTGTTGATTTTGATATTTATCGATCTTCTATAAAATGGTTTTTGAGAAAAATAAACCCGGCAAGAACGGTGTTGAATGGGAAACAGAGAAAATGCACAATGCCTTTGGATGCTTGGAGAATAGTAAAGGTAAAGGTACCCCTGCCCGTACGGGCCAGTCTTGACAGACTCTAGGGTTGTGCGCCCATCTCACTTAAGAGGCCAGGGGCCAGCGCTGTCCGGAGACACTTCCGGGTCACGTGGCCAGCGTGACATCGCTGCTCTGGCGAGCCAGAGCCGCACACAGAAACGCCGTTTACCTTCCCGCTAGTAAGCGGTCCCTATTTATCTACTTGCACCCGGGGGTGCTTTCGAACTGCTAGGTTGGCAGGCGCTGGGACCGAACAACGGGAGCGCACCCCGCCGCGGGGATTTGAACCACCGACCTTTCAATCGGCAAGCCCTAGGCGCTGAGGCTTTTACCCACAGCGCCACCCACGTCCCTACGCTTGGAGAATAGCTAGTGCTTAACGAAAGAGAAATACGAAGCTGCCTTATACTGGGTTAGATACAGTGCATAATAAGTGTCCCCACACAGAAAAGAAACAAAACAAAACAAAAACTACAACTACATAACATTTATAGCAGGGGTGGCCAACTCCTGAGAGACTGCGATCTACTTTCAAAATTAAATTCTGGCAGTGATCTACCCCCATTTTTTAGGGGTTTAGCTCAAAATTGTTCACCTTTTTCGGAGGAGGGGAAATGCCCCATTTTTGGGGGGGGCAGGGATGCTTTTGCAGTTCTTCTGAGGGAGGGAGCAACAGAAGCAGCCACTAATCTTACGATCAGCCTCAGTTTCTAAACTCCGGCTTCCCTTCTGCAACAATAGACGTCGGTGCAGGGAGAGGGGCCGGGGCCGGAAGGGGGCCAGCGATTGACCGCAATCTACCGAAACCTCGCAGGGATCGACCAGTAGATCGCGATCGTCGGGTTGGACACCCGTGATTTATAAAATACTTCAATTAACAAAACACCATACAAACAGTAAACACACAATATACATACTCTGACAGAAAAACTGGTTAAAAGCGCATCTCAACTTGATAAAGTATCAGGTTTGTACAGTGAACCCTAATTTCTTGAGAAAATTCTTTTTAAGTTAGAAGTCCAACTTGAAAAGAAATTTCTCAAGGAATTAGGATGCAAGTTTGGGGTCTGGTAGATAATACTGAGTCAGGCCATTGGTAACTCTAGCTAATAGTTTCCTTTGATTTGCAGTACTCTCCAATGTCTCAAGGTTGAAATACGTATGACGTGGGAGAGAAGAATTGGATTTCCCAACATTTTCTCTCTCTTTAAAGCAGCAACCAGGGCCTCCAGTTTTGACCTAAGAAGCGGCACTGACAGCACCCAGGAAAATGTGTCTGAGCACTGTGATTCCAATCCAAATGAGAGCACCCTCCTTCCCCACTGCTGCTTTAAAAAAGTAATCAGGAAATCTGATTCTGGGTCACATCTGTTTTGGCAAACAACCAGAGGTCTTTCCCAGCCTTGCTATCCACAGTCCTTTTCACTGGAGAGCCATGGGACTGAATGTGGCCTCTTGTGTGTGCAAAATCTGACATTCACCACTGAAAGACATGCAAGTAACAGGAGGGGCAAGTACCAGATGATCTAGGATCAGATCGATGCATTTTAAAAATAAATAGTGCCACTTTATGTCAAAATGGTCGAAATTGCCTAAGCCTACAGTGTTATGCTTTATCGTTGTTGTGGCACACTAAAAGAAGCTGCTAACTGCATACAATTGATAAATGAGAAAATTGTTAACTAATTTTTATACAAATGAGCATGCATGGCAGTGTCCCATGGGTCCAACTTATCCTTTAATTAATGCTGACCTTTCGTCAGAATAAAATTATTTACACGTTGGACATCTTTCTTAATAGAGGGCCCACAAGCATACTCCAGCCCAGAGAAGGCTGCCAAAAGGCCATACAGGCTGCATTGGCACTGCTAGTGATGATGCAGGCACTGTTGCCAGGAACACAACTTTAAACTAAGGCTCAGTTGACAGCCATGAGTTTTTCCAGTGGGGCTGACTGCTCTGGTTCACTCAAGAGTTTGAATTAGCTCAGCGGAATTTTTTCTTTTTTTTGTTGAACAGCTTATCTCCATGCTTCCAGAGGGCAGCCATGGCGGCCTGTTTATCAGCAAAGGAGCTGCATTCAAAGAAGAAGACTCAAGCCCACAGGGGTTCTCTCCTCACTCACTGTCCACGTCTTACTCCTGATATATAAGTTAAATAGCAACAGTCTTGGTACAGGTTATTTGGGTATAGCATTGCTAACTTTCCTGAAATATGAAAACTGTTTAACCTAACCTTTTGCTTTCTGTTTTTTAACTGCTTAACAATCTCCACAAGAGCTTCTACCTTATTTTCCCACATTTTCATATAAGTCTTTGGTGTGGTGTTGAGCAATGTATCTATCATCTATCTACCTACCTACCTACCTACCTACCTACCTACCTACCTGGCTCACATATTCTTGATATCTACCCTCCAATGCAATTATAAAAAAATATAAAAGTAAAGTAACCATAAGCCTTCAGAATGAGAACTCGGATACATGATGCTATCACACTGATCCTATTTAGACTAAGTGCTGAGCAAACAAGAATTTACCCATGCAGCATTCCATGTAGCTGGCTTCAAATTTAAACCAGGCTCTCAGCTACTGAATGTGCAATAATAGCATGTCAATGCAACACCCGCTCAGGCCACAAGGATCACTAGTGTCCTAATGCTGTATTAGAAGGCAAGACAGCTGTGGCTTAAAAGAGACATCAGGCACTTGGAATACGGTGCAGGAAAGCTTTTCTTACACGTCTGACATCTTCTTTTAAACAGGCCAGCCTGGTCACACTCTGAATGTCCAACATGTCCAGAAGCCTAATATGAGTCATTCTGAGGTTTTTTAAAAAACAGACTACATATAATGAAAAAGAGTCCCTGTAACTGTTAGTGGGGGGAGTCATTTTCGTATGACATTTGCATGCATTCTGGATTGAAGTAGGAGCACAGGACAGGCATAGCTGGGAAGGTATATGAAGTCACATATATAATCACATTGAACATTTAATCAAAATCAGTTTGTGCTACCTTAACAGGGTGCTGCATTTTTCACCGAGCTCAGCTGACACCAAGAGCCAACAGCTGTTATCATTTACCTTTTAACAACAATGTTGAGGATGCCATTTGAGGAGTCGATGATCTGCATGGCGCTGGCATGTGAGAGGCCAGCACATGATTTCCCATTGATGGTTACCAGTTCATCATTTTCCCATAAGCCCCCACGGCATGCTTTGCTTCTTTTACGGATCTAAAAAGGGAAAAGCAGAGAGGAGAGTGTGAAGGAGAAAGTTCCCTCCTGGGCTATCAACAGGGATACCAACAGCACAACAGTTACCACCATGGAAAAGCTGAAAAAGGGATTTGGTCATCACACGAAAGGGGCACACTTATGCCACATCCTATATCCCTTCAGCCCATGGCCACAACCCCGTCGTTGATGCGAACCCCACATAGGGAGACCATAACTCAGATGACAGCTGCTTAGTGTGTGTCCTCTCTCTTGTCTCATGGCATTCACACCTAGCCCTCACAAGGGGCAACTTCAGTAACGTGAAACGACGTAGAAAGGACATGTTGCACACAAAGGGACTACTCTGCAAAGAACGGCCTAGGCTTGAGCACAGTACCAGGACTTCTCTCCTTACAACCCTAAATGGGTATGTCAAATTGGGATAGGTAACAACAGACTCCACTCAAATAACTGGAGTGAGGGTGGGGCTGATATATCCAAAGGACCTGCTGCAAATACCCCAAGTCTTTCCCTCCCCCCGCATTGCCATACATGAGAACCGTCTTCCTTTGCTGAACTGTATTGCTCCAGCAATTCCCCAACCACAACAGTGGGGGGCAGTGTTCTCAATGCATGGGGAATACTCATCCCCCATTGGCCAAAACCAGGCACTCCACTTCCTGCCAGCTGACAGTTAATAGCAACAAATGGGGTCCTTTCATCAGGACCTAGATGACATGGGGAGGATAGGGTTAACCTTTCCCTCTCAGTGTGCTGTGGTCCCGATGAAAACAAACCCCTTCCCCCAGTGTACCCCTACTTTTTAAAAACTGCACAGTTGCTAATGATGAGCCTAGCATAACATCCTGGTCCTCCGTGTCTCCCCTGCAAAGTGGAGGAGCAGGGAAAAGGAAGAAATGCCTATCTTTTTTTGGGAGGTATGAGCTGTCTAGACACTTGTTGGACCTTTATCAGCCTCTGGGGATCAGCTCCAAGCTTTTCCTGCAATCTTAAAATAGAAATTGCTCATTCCATCTGCCACATTCATCAGCACAAATGCCATCATCCTGGCCTTCCAGAGACTTTGCCCTTCCTCTGCCTCTAACATTTGGAAAAGGAAAAAAAAATCTGGAATGAGAACATGAAACCTAGTAATAGAGCAAGAGAGCAAACAGGCTCTCCTGCTCCTATCAAACTGAGCAGTTTCCATCTGGTTTCCTTCCCTCATTTCACCAAGTTTTCTGGGGTACAGTTTGTAGGCAAATAACAAAATAAAGAACTATGTACACTCATGTGAGGTGCTATCGTTGGGAGAAGCTGGAGCGAGGGTATCTGCTTGTATTTGAAGAATGTAATTGACTGGGGAAAAAGTACCTCAAGCCCAATATTTGGAGAGAAACAACTCTTTCATGGAGACATTTCTCCACCAAGAATGCTACATTTAAAGCACAAACACCAAATCATCCTAGGAACCACAGCTTATCCTTCACAGAGCTACAATTTACAGCATTCTTAATCAACTACAGAAGGATTCTTTGGGGGGAAATGATGTCCTTTAAATGTATGGAGGATGTACACAGCCATAGACTATCAGCTTTTCATTTGCATATTGAGGCCCCATAACCACCCTGTTCCCTAAGGTGCAAATAACTAGACACAACACAGGATATTGATTTAGGATCAAATAAGGGCACAACTTTATTGGTTACATGTCACTCCTGCCCATCTGCTGGGAGTGTTTCTAAGGATGAAGATGGCAGCGGCGGGGGCTGGGGGGGGACACAACCTACGTCAAATCGGGGCATCCCTCAAGTGGTCCCCGTTGGAGGAGTAGTATGGCCCTAGCCCGCATCTGGGTATTGGAGAGGAGCCACTCCTCCTGGATTCTTATACCCATGGAGGGGCAGGCAGAGGCTACCACCTCACCTCCAACCAAGACTAGGCTTACCCAATGCCTATCCGCCTTACAAAGTTGTGACGATTGCTACGAGGTAGGCGAAAGCCCAAGTGGTGGTGCCAATTAATCAAGTGGGAAAAATTCCTGCCTGGCCCCTGAAAATTTAGGTGGCTGGCATTGTCCATAGCAAGGTCAAACCATCCATGAAAAACCCTAATCCGAGGGTGGGTGGGTGGGTGGGTGGGTGGGTGGGAGAACGGGCGCAGCGAGAGAAAGGCAGAAAAGCCCTGCCGGCCAGGCATTTAAACATCCCCTGGGTGTGGTGCCAAGGGTCGCAATTGGTTGGTTGGTCCCACACTCAGGGGAACACCCACTAACTCCAGCCGCCATTGGCCCATTTGGTGGCAGGAATACGATCCGGCCTGTGATAGGCCAGTTTACCAGGGAGGCCCAGGTCCTGCCCGCAAAGCCACCCACCCCAAAAGGGGGAGAACAGACTTCTCTGAATGATACCCAATGTTACATGAATGGGATTCCACTTACACAATAGTACTTCTCCTTCCTCTTCTCTCCTCTCCAACCTTCAAACCCCCATTTACTCTGGAAGGTCCCACACAATTTAAGGGTGCAGGTGGAAGAGAGGAAGGGGAAATCCTGCTGTGCAAGTAGATGGACACATCTAGATGTCACCCCCCTGAAAATGGAAGCATTCTAATAGGTGTGTGCATAAGCATGCCAATGAGTTCTAAGGGGGGATTCTTAGCACCTTGCTAAAATTAAAATTCTCCCAAACCCGATTCCCCCCAACACTCTCATGCAATCTGGTAATTGTCAGATTTGGGGGTTTGGCAATGAGTTTTCCACTGCAGAGCCTAGGGCTTGCCAATTGGAAGGTTGGCGGCTTGAATTCCTGCGATGGGGTGAGCTCCCGTTGTTTGCTCCCAGCTCCTGCAAACCTAGCAGTTCGAAAGCACGTCAAAGTGCAAGTAGGTAAATAGGTACCGTTCCGGCAGGAAGGTAAACGGCATTTCCACGCGCTGCTCTGGTTCGCCAGAAGCAGTTTAGTCATGCTGGCCACATGACCCAGAAGCTGTACGCCGGCTCCCTTGGCCAGTAAAGCGAGATGAGTGCCGCAACCCCAGAGTCGTCTGCGACTGGACCTAATGGTCAGGGGCCCCTTTACCTTTTCCCACCCACTTAGTCCTGAACCTGAGGAGTGGAATGCTCCACCACACAATTAAAGTTTTTTAAGCTATAGAGCAGAAAGAGGAATTGATCATTTATCTTTACCTCTTGCTCTACTATCAGAACAGATCATTGTTATTATTTTATACGTTTAGGTTTTGTATACCCTGCTTTTAGCTGGATGTATTATTGATTTTTTTGTTATTGTTTACATGTTTCTGTGGTTCCATAATAATTTGAAAATTAATAAAAATAAATGGGGGGCGGGTTTCATTTGGAACTGAAGATCATGCTAACCACTCTCTATCCCATCATGGTAGGGAAGGACCAGCCTGCACTAGCTGTAGAGTTCCAAGTGCTTCTCCAGACAACCTATTTATTAATCAGTCATCCTGCTGTGTTTGCACAAAATCTGTGTGGAGATTATATGACATTGTTGTTTGTTGAGTTTTCATTCCAATTTGTTTGCACAGACGTTGTATGGCATTGCCCATCATTGCCCTTATTCCACATTTTCCAGTGCACATTCCCATCACTTTTCTTACCACATTCATTCTGTGAATTTTGGGGTGTGTGGGGTTTTTGTGTGTGTGCAAAAGCACCAAATCCACTTTAATTGTGCAACCTAAATTTGTTGGTATACAGCTGTATCAGACTCACAAAATAGCGACAGTCTGGATTCTGGAAGCTGGGAGTAAGAACCCAGCAGGGCTTACTTCTGAGTAAACATTGCATAGGATTACACTGTCAGTCCATTTCTAAAAACCTTAACAGCAAAAGGGCAAAAGCCATTCTTAGCCTCAATTCTGTTAAATTACAATTCTGCAAAAACAAATATATTTTTAATTTTAAAAATAGACCAAGCAAACTGCTTTTAAATTTTGTACGATAACTAGGGGAGGAATGATTGAGAGGACAGAAAAATCCCAAACATACCCAGGATATTTCTACCAAACTCCACCCAGTGGTATGGATGACAACAAGCAGCAAAGCAATGAAATGGTGAGTGAGAAAACAGAAGTGTGTGGATCCTCATGTGCCAATCAACCCTATTGCAAGGCCCTCCCAAGAGTAAAAGCAGCCTAAAATCACAAAGCCATTGAAAGTGTCTAAACCTTCTCTCTCTCAATAATTCTTCCACCCCAGAAAACATAGTTTAAAGACGTTTCCTCCTAGAATTACTTCAACTCATGGCATCTTACCAGCAGAAAGATGATATTGAAAGGCTGTTTCAGAGGGTCAGGAAAAATGAAGCGAGTGGATTCAGCTCCTGCCTCTAACCTACCCATGTTGTGTTTTAAGCCTTAACACCACTTGACAGGAATTCAATGGCAAACCCAATTTTGCTGAAGGGGCAATGGCAACCTTCGCATACAATTTGTCTCTTAAGAACCTTGCACTCCTGGAGTGTACTCCTAGCAACTCTCAGCCTCCATGGCTATGAAATCTGGAGCTTGGAGCCAGATCAGAGTACTCTGGCGTAACCACAGCTTGGTCCATGCCAGGATTTATGGTAATTCGGGAACTCCAGTTTGTACGTAACTGAGCAAGGAAAAAACTCTGCAGCAAAGCTCTTCATTTACCAAGCAGTCTCCAATACGTTGTGTGTCCTGGGCATCTAAAATCAACAAAGTCCACTCTCGGTCTTCACAGCCAGCTCCCCACACAGAGGGAGAAACTCTAAAAATAGGATGAAAGACTTCCCAACTGTTCTTGTTCCCAGAGGCAGCTTTTCAAAAACTCATAAATCCCTTGGAACATAACATTGCCAACACAACTTGACTGACTAGTTCTCAGTTTCTTTGCAACTATAGCCTGGGCTGGTATCAGTGAAAAAGATGATCTGGGAAGAGAGGACGAAAGTACACACTATATTTAAAAGTATAATGTGTACCTTAAACTTTCAAAGCAACCCATACTCTGTACGTCTGGGCTT